TGTCTTAGAGAAAGGGTCAAAAAAGGAGAGGAGAGAACATTTCAGAAGGACTTTTGAAGGAAGTCAACGAAAGCATGATATAAATGAAAGTTTCCTCCTCGGCTGAACCTCGCGCACCAGGGAGAGACCCTAAATGTTAGCAGATGGCTTTTAAAATGCCCTAGCAGCATGTCCCGCAGAAAAGTGGTCTTCCTAACTCACATATACCTACAGAAAAACAAACACATTTTAAAAATACTGCACAATTTCCTAACTATAAAGCGTCAACTTAATGTGCATGAGTAAGAGAAAAACAAGCATGTGTGTTTATTGCTTTAAACCCCTAGAAAGTCTGGTACGGGGTGTGGAAATAGCCCAGCGCAGTAATTAAAGTTTTATCAGCCAAATAAATTCCGCTACACCCATTTTTATCACAGAGCTGGCAGTAGCCTGACGTTGGCCATAGCTCTCCAAAGGTAATGACAGTAAACAAGCTAAATATTTCTCATCATTCATTGGGTGTATTTGTATAAACGCAGTTGGGTAAAACTTTGCGGGTTCTGCTCATTTCAGAGGTGTAAATCCTTCCCCTAAAACGTCTCGGAATAAAAATACAGTCTTGCTAATGTTCTTTTGAAACATAACCTCCATTTTAGAAAGCCACTACAAAGCACAGCACGCCCAACAGCCGCTGCCATGTTTATTTTCTTAGCCATGCTAATACCGGTCAGCCACATTCCTCTATTCCCAATCTGGGAGGTTTCAAATTGCCCTCCAGTACTCTCAGAGAGAGCCAAAGGAGGAAGGGACAGAAGGAGAGCTGCCCTGTGATCAACACCTGTCGTCTTGCGGACTATTAGCACCTTCACGTTTACAGCTCAAGCCCCTGATCGCCTTCATGTTACGTGCCACGAGAACCCCAACTGGCTGGGAACGTCGTTAGAACCAGTCCCATGCGAAAAGGTGAAAAAAAGACACACTGGCACACAGTTAACGCATCTTCTTAACTCTATCAATAGAATTGTTATGGGAATACTTATGTTCAGAAGTTCAGAAGTGGCATACTCGAGATGCTCTCTGTCGGCCTTTGGAGCTGTTGGTGATATAAGCAAGGTGTGTTTTTAAATAAGATTAATTAAGGCTTTACTGCACAGCAACACAGTTTTCAAGATGTTTAGACACAGTTCACCTTCCTCGCATTCTGCAGATAACTTCACCTGAAACAGCTTTAAATACTCTGAAAAACTGTTGACTATTTAGCATTCCAATCCAAGACTGAGAGTCAAAATCTATGGGTTGTTCCCTGGGCCTCAAGTTTACTCAGTTTAACTAACTACAGGCTTACCCAATGATGAAAAAAATTATATTTTTCTGTATCTCTATAGAATTTAGCATATTTTGTTTTCAGGTCAGGTCTATACAGAGTAAAAAGTCAGAGAGAACTAATGAATTCTCTAGCTTGTAAAACATTCTTCACCTGCCCAACAGCTCATCTCGGGGTTAACACCCTGCCTTTAGTCAAAGCAACAGGCAAGTCTCAGATTTTTCACCTGATGGTGAAGTGCTGCTGTCACATGTTCAAAGTGTCTGGTAAAAGCTTCAGCACCAGGAAAAAAAAACTTTACCTTCCCCCTCAGCCCCTGTGTAGAAACCACTGTAACCTTTACAAATGCTTCAAATGAAGGTAGGCTATATTACTGCAATATGACTCATAAGTGAGAGTCAAGAACATTTTATTGATAGCCAAAAAAAGAAAGATTAGTAGAATGGTATAGGTATTGCCATATTTACTGCTTCGGCTCACACTAATCTGTAAATGCAAGTCATGTGACCAATTAAGAGCATCATAAAAAAATAAAAATACAGTTCTCAAGCAAATAATGTTACCTTAATAAGCTATAATAATCTTTCTAAACACAAATTGTCGACTTGAAATTTTCATATGAATGCTAACTGGGAACTTTTGGAATTTTTGTCACATGAGTTACCATGGGATGACCTTCCAACATGACAGAGAAAAATAAAAGTGTTTGGTAATTATTAATGTTTCTAAACTTGCTTTTGCATTTTAAAGTATATATTTATGTGTAACTGTCTTATTGCTGCAAACTGTCTCCATGTGTGTTTTATCAGGACAGCAATGTTGCCAACAGTTAGGCCTTCTATTAAGAGCCACAATCATAGAAGACCTAAGGGGGAGATTTTAATTATGTGTGATTGTTAAGTCGGTGAAGGTTGTGTGAATTATAATTAGAGCTGAAGATGTTATGAACAAACAGTTTAGTACCGTTCATATCACACAGCTTTACAAGATACTTTATAGTGTTTAAGCCTTCTGTGGCTGATTCAAAATAGTTCTAAAGTAAGTGAGTTGAAATGAAAAACATTCCATTCATCATGATTATGGTAATTAAAGTGAAGGTACGTCTGGTAAACACAAGGTGAATCCATCTAGAAGACAGTTTGCCTCCAGTGAACATTTACTGTTGGCCTTTACACCAAACGGTGAAGCACTCAGACGGCCACATTCCAATTATACACGGTCTGATCAACACTCCTCACGGCGGCGCGGAGGGGGAGGGGCGTATGTTAATGACGCAGGGAGCGTTCATCACGCACCGGGAGCGCTCCGAGGTCAATCCGTGACTTCAAATAATGAACGGTCAGGACGCAAAGCGCCTGCGAGCGTTCCTAGAAGAGCAAACTTAAATTAATGTGGGTTTATATGATTAAGATGACTAAACAAAATTTATTTAACACAGAAGGACTGAGTTTAAAATTAAATGACGTAACATGTCATCAAAAGCTATATCTGGAGGTGTTCATATGATAAAATAAGTACAAACAGGTGCTGTTGCACGGCTCAGGTGCGTCTCCGCGTTCAGATACCTGCAGTGCGGTGAGCAGTGCCAAACGCCCTATGACAAAGCACTTATATCAACCCAACACCGCAGAAAAGCGCTGCAAAATGACCCTCACGGTGTAAAATCGTTGTAGGTTTCGAAACAATTTCAGAAGACGCCTATACTTTCCCGCATGGAAAAAAAAGATCATGAGCGATGCTCCAGCACCTACAAGTACCGAGGATGCGCTTTATACTGTAGCGATGCTTTTAAGAGTAAGCGCTATAGAAAGCCGAATGATAACAGGCACCCATCCCTTCTGCAGTTAAAAACAAACGACAACAGCAGCTGAGAGTGAGAAGGCATGCGAAAAAACACCACATAGATCTTTTTTATACCTGCACAAGTTGACATTTGCAGCAACGTACGAGAAACGCCTCCCGTCTGCTTTCAAAATGAGACAATGTATCTCAGAGAGAGAGAGAAAAAGAAAGACTCCTTCCTTGTCAGCAAGTTCAGGTAGCAAAAAACCATAGCGACATGGTCAAATGGCATTTACGAAAAACCTAAGTGACATTTTTATCCTCCCCTCCGATCAGGTAAGCACATATTTACAGGTCGCTCACACGCGCGCGCTGAGAGATCCGCTACGTCAGCCTGAGGAAAAGTGTATTTCTTCACTCATCTCTTCACAAAACGACACTTAATACACCAGATGAGCCGACGAAATGAAAAACGGTGGACTTTTGATCTAAAAAGAGAGAGCTTGGACGAATAAAATTATTTTAAAAATATTTTCAAGTGTAGGCTATATTCCCTATCTCACACGATCTTCGTAAAATTACTCAGGCGCACATCTATACCTCTGGACACGGCTTGCCGGATAAATCGCTATATTTCAAAGGAACAAATCGCAAGTACGATTTACCACACATAAACCCGAAACCTACACAGCTACGGACGTGCATTACAAAGCGGATGCATAAAGTCCTCAAAACAAATAAACTGTCAGTGCAGTGAGTCCAGCTGCAGCAGCGCGATTTATCAGGATTCTCTGCGCTGCTCGGGATGTATACGCATTCCTTATATAGGCTGCAGCAGTTGTTCTAGCAGCAGACAGCCCTTCAGATTCCTTTCCTTTTCTCTTCTCTTCAGCGTTACCACCCAACTAGAAATGTGGCAGGCTGGCTGCACAAACAGGTTGCTTTATCTGGCATCGTGCTCCAGAGCTCTCTGTGCCCCGCTCCCGCAGGGACGCCTAGACTGGCAGGACTGTTACATAAACACACCCTTATTTTTTGCTTTGTAAACTTCAATCGGAGTTCAAGAAGAAACTTTCCTGTCAAACATCACCGCGAACTGCATACATGCCCATGTTTTCTAATGCAGCAGCAACACAGAGAGAGCAGCGTGCTGCTGTTATCAGGCAGTTTCTTGTGAGCTATATGACAAAAGTGCGACTTGTAGATAGTAAAACAAGCCAAAGTGTCACATCGGCGATGTAAAGCCACGCATTCATAAATATGACTCTAAAACGTTCACATACATAGGCTACTACTATTAGAGGTTATTCTTAGGATTCTGCTAGCTCGCTAGCTACCTGCTACCACGCAGACAGCGGACCAGCCCATTTCAGATATATCAAAGTTTGTTATTAACGAAAATAAAACATAATCCTCTCAAGCCACCGCTCTATTCCCAAACACGTATTTATGAAAGCATTTCCACCACTTCTATCGCTCAAACTGATTCATGCGAAACCAAATCACCCGCATCGGACCAAACAGGTACATTTAGAGCGAGAAAATAAGTTTCAGTTCGTTCGAATCTAAAGAGGAAAATCTAACAATGACGAGTAACAGATTCGAATAGAATGGATTCTTTCAAACCCAAAAGCTTTATAAAGTGAACTCAGGGCGAAGGGGAATAAAAGGGGAAACAAAAGCGAGAGTCACTTGAATGGGACTGGCTGCGTATAACGGTCCGCGCTCGCGCTGTGCACCGCTAGGCGGTGAGGGAGTCGCGAGCGCGGCAGGTATAACGGTACACTAGATAGGGGCTATAACACGGCGCTACTTTCCAGCACTTTGTGGGGCTCGAGAAGTTCTGCCAGCGGCCTGGAGTCCAAAGTTGAATGAAAACAGCCGTCGCCGAGCAAAGCGAAGGGTTTTTACTCACCGTTTGTCCTCCTCGGGTTCGCCTGCTTTCTGCGCTTACACCTGGGGCCATCCGCCATGATCCTTTCGCTGTGTCTAAATGCTGCTGGAGAGTCACCTCCTCTCGCCCCCACACCTCCCCTCCCTTCTACTCCACCTCCCCTCCCTGCACCTGGTTTACGACACTCGGCTTTACGACATTACCTTCTGGCTCCTATACCTCTCTCTCTGGCGCTCAGACCCCCGTCTCTGGCCAACTCCCGCCCCTCGCACCACGCGCTCCGAAACGCTCAACCTGTGCATGTACAGGGAGAGGAAGAGCTATTTTGATTGACAGTTCAAAAGAAACACGAGTGTCTGGACAAAACAAACATTTCCAAGCCCATTACACAGAAAAGCGCAACGGTAAAAGTTGAACCTGAATCGAGCGTGATGTGTTTTTTTTACAGTTAGGATGGGGGCGGGGAAAGTTTGACGCGTGCACCTGTTTATGGCGCACGCACACGCATACACAATCACGCAATCTTTGCTGCAACTTTTTCTCATTCATGACGAGGCAGAAAACTGCTGGTCATAAAACTAGTCGCAGCAAGAAGTAGACAGTATCTTTTTATAGAGGGGGCACTGGCTAGCTGTCACTTTTTACTCTAATGAACATTTATAAGGGGTAGTTTTATTAAAATCAATAAATGTACGGCCATAACCTAAGGTAGGCTACTCTCATCTAAAAGAATCAAATAAATAAATACTATTTAAGGTAACACTTTATTTTAAGGTGTCCTTGTTACACAAGTTACATGTACTTGCTATTATAATAACAATAAATTATGCATAATTAAATGCAAGTAACCCTAAACCATACCCTAATCCTAACCCTACAGTAAGTATATATAGTTATTTAATATTACTCAGTACTTAAATGTATAATTACACTGTAACAAGGACACCTTAAAATAAAGTGTAGCCCTATTTAATATTATTTAATTATTTGACCCCTAACATGAACAGCCATAGGAAAGAGAGAATCTTATTTCATTACTTAATAATAAATAAATAAATAAATGTATTTTCAAAATGTATAATCATAAAAGTGTTTAACATTACCATTGTTTTCCCACTTTGTGACAATATGTAGCAGTACTGGGTAGCCTTTTAGGGGTAAGTTGTCACGGGGGGGGGGTCTTTCATACTAACCATACATAAAGCCTTAATTATAAAACCTTACTTTATTGTACTTCTGTGTCATTTTTACAAAGAGCTATTGCAAAAATATGTTGATATTGGAATATTAGTTTCAGGAGATAAAATTAAATATTATTTAAGCTGATATTAAACTGGTTTTGCAACTCAACTTTTGATTCAGAACTTCAATACTGATTTACAGTCCTTGTGACAATTTTCCTGATCCCCAATCTCTTATTTGTTATAGGCTACTTATAGCTAACTTCAGATAGAATTTCCAAAAAAATCCAAAAAGGCTGTATCTGACAAGATCATTTAAATCTTTTATATGGAAGAACTGTTTTTATTTAGTCCATATTGAATTCAAAGGAACATGGTTGGAATTTCAAAGCAGTGCCATTCATTTTTTTATTATTAATCATCATGTCCAATGACTGATGTTATCAGTGGCTGATGTAGATGAGTTTTTGTTTTATTTGAAAATAAAATTGTCTATCACTAAAGAGTACACATCTAATCGTAACGGAATAAACACTTTAGTGAAATAAGCATATCTAATGTACTTCACAGTTCTTCAGGTTGGCAAAAGATTTGTCAGTTCACTAAATAACTGTGACATTAGGTCTAACGCTATTTGCCATATGTTTACTGGCACAAACGTCTCTAGATAGCCTATGTGTTATAGTAGGAGGGTCTGTATATTCATATTAATTTAAAGTATGAAGGAAATATGTGTTCGAGTGTAAGTGTGTGCGACTAAGTAGGAAGGAGGAATGCAGTGCGTGTCCCAAGGCACAGAGAGGATCATGGGACCCTCACTGCAATGATTCAGTCCTCCACCCAAAGAAAGAGCTCGCTGTTCCCCAGGGATGTTTACTCCTCTGACTCTGACTAGGGAGAGAATGCATGAGAGAAAGAGAGAAAGACACAGAGAGAGACACCAACTAAATAGGAACTGAAGGCCAGAGAAAAGTTAGATGTAGAGAAATGTTTAAGATAATGAGTTTAGTCAGGCCTAATTGCATCCCAAAGCTTTTCAGGTGTTTTATCCATTACAGCCAATGAAAAACATGATCTGGTCAAGTACAAACATACGAATGCAGCAGCCAAAACATGAGCTAGCGCATTTATTTGACTTTGAATACAAGGACACACTGGGCTGAAGCACCAACATGGTACCATCTGAAGGTCACAAAAGCGAGTGCTGCAGCAGTGGCGGGTAGCGCTATTCTTGTACCTGATGACTATCAGGTTTCTGTCAGATCTCAGCTGGGTGTGGTGTACTTAGCATGGGTCTGCAGTGTACAGTCCGCACTGATTGAGTGAAAACACTATATAATCTCATAATGATATGTTGCAAATCAAAGCATGTTGCACAAGCCTATATGTAAGAAAAATATTCAACATAATCACTGTAAAATTGAACAGTATTTCCTTCCTCCATTGCTCTTTAAGTACTACCTGAAAATGAAAATTATGTAATTTACTCACCTTCATGTCGTTCCAAACCCGTATGGCATGCAAATGAACCATAAAAGTTTCATAAAAGTAGTCTAAGATAGCTTTCTGATATTCTCTGATAATCTTCATCTCCTGCAAGTGTTTAACTTAGAAATCACTATGACCCGAACATGAACATCAAGTGAGTGAGTTGAACAGATCAGTCTGAATCATTCAGAACATATTTGATACAACGAATCAGATCAGTTGATTCATTTGCGATTCAATGGGGGCTGCTCAAACAGAGGAACACAGTGAAGATGTGTCCTTCTTTCTGAGGCTTCAAGGCTAGAGTCCTTCTCAGAATTAAATGCTAGAATGAGACTGTCTAGTAAGTGCATATGACTACATCATAAATGTTTCCACCCTACGGTCAGGGCACAAAAATACTATTAAAATGATCATTTAAAGATTACTTTATATATAAAAAATTTATATTAAATGATGTGATTCATTTACAACAAAACAAAACACCTTAACTTCAAAAAATCTTATCCTGAATAATATAATAAAACTGAACAAGCTCAGTGTTGATTCATTTTCAGCTCATTCATTTTTAGTGAATTGGAATCTGTGCAAAGGATTGTGGGTGATTGAAGGACATAAAGGATACACCTGATGCATCCTTCAAAAAAGGCCAAATGAAGGGCACAAGCCTGCCTACTAAGGATCCTTCAAACTGTGACATCCTTCAACGGAGCTTTATGCAGCCTAGATATGCATCCTTAGAAGGATGTGTCCTTCCATTAGAGAAACACCCAATAAATCATATTAGTTGATTCATTTGTGATTCATTAAATCAGATCAACTGATTCATTTTGATTTAATTAATCAGATCAGAAAATAATTATTTTAAGTAAATGAATAATTAGTAAATTATTCAACATCAGATCAACTGATTCATTTCAGATTCAGTAAATCAGATCGGCTGATCAGTCTGATTCAAAGAAGCAGATCAACTGATTCATTTGAGATTCAGTTCATCAGATCAGTTGATAGAGTCTGATTCAAAGAAGCAGATCAACTGATTTATTTTGATTCAGTTAATCAGATTAATAAATTGACTTAAATGGACAGATTATTCAACAATTCACTAATTTTCTCATGAACTCCAACAAAGTCCAACAGGTTTGAAACAACATGAGGTTAGGTATAATAATTTTAACATCCTGTGTGTTCTCATCTTGCATTTCAACTGCAGTATGAAAACTGTTTCCATAAAACGAACCTAGATAATGAGGTCTGAAAAGAACTATGACCTTCTTAAACATTCCAAAGCCGTCTATGTTTAATCAAATCTGCAAACGCTCTACAGGTGAGCTATGGTCATGAGAACAGGAAGTGGAAAGGGAAATGAAACAATGGTTAGGAGACAAATGACACGGCAATTTCAGTTTGAATGTTTAGAGAGAAGACAAGCTCTGTGTTGAAAGCAATATCCTATAAGTGCATAGCGGAATCTTTGCAGAGAAAAGCCCAACATTAGTTTAGAAATGCCCCTGGTAGTCGCCTCAAATACCTTCCCTGTCATCTGTCTAACCCTCTCCAACCCATGGCCTCTTTCACTTCATCAAACAGACAACAGACAGAGCTGAGTAAGGTGCCTGTCCCTTCATCATTAAGCCAGTTTGCTCTGCCTATGGCTGCTGACAGTGAATTATTCAACAGGACAAAGTGCTCTGTGGCTGTGCAGAGGCTTTACAGAGTAACAGATAATAATAGCATTAATGTCCATAGAATCTCATTAAGAGAGTTAGCATTCGGCTCTCTGCCTTCCTCTATATATATATATATATATATTTATTCACATGCTGCATGTGCATATAATGGAAAAGAGTGATGGGGAAAAGGGTGGACAGGTTTGACTGTCCATAATGAAGGGGTTTCAGCTATGTTCCTCTACTGGTGTCACGTTGCACACACACACACGAGGGACGAGGAGACGCTGGAGAATATGTTGACAAGACTTTATTTGCACCAAGG